CACACTGCATAAAATCTGACGAGCCCGTGTAAACACCCTGGGGAAGAGGACTACAGGTATACCTTTCTCATCCTACTCATCAACAAAAATGATTCTTATGATGTGTGACCAATTTATTATCTTCCATGTATATAAAGATCATGAAAATCCCAGATATACAGATAACCGCTAGAAAGTATAAATGAGACTCCTTACTCTTTTGGGATTACTTATAAGTAATCCCAAAAGAGTAAGGAGTCTTGTAATACAGCGGGAGTGTATATACGTTTGTTTGTGTGTGTGTGTGTGTGTGTGTGTGTGTGTGTGTGTGTGTGTGTGTGTGTGTGTGTGTGTGTGTGTGTGTCCGGTGTAACACAAGCAATTAAACCCACGTACCCACTACCTGCCTGATGAACTACATTACTACATCAAGATACACACACACTCTGGTGCCAGAATACACACGTATACACCACTGAAGAGGAGGAGGAAGAGGAAAGTGAGGAGAAGGAGGAAGAGCAGGAGGAAAGTGAGGAGAAGGAGGAAGAGGGGGGGAGAAAGTGAAAGGAAGGAGGAAGGTGAAGGGAAGGAGAAAGAGGAGGAGGAAGGTGAAGTGAATGAGGAGGAGGTCACTCACAGGATCTAGCCGGTGATAAGGACCCGCAGTTAAAACTTATGTAGAAGCCTCTCAGGGGTGCCACACGACCCGGGTCCTCAGGGACTTTTAGCAATATGCAGATCCGTTGCCATGTTTTAGGAGAGGCGGGGAGAGAACCCATAATCCTGGAAGAGAGAGAGAGAGAGAGAGAGAGAGAGAGAATGGTAAGAGTGGTAGATAAAGAGATAAACCTGTGAGTGATAGAGATAATGCTGAAAGAGAGAGATAGAGAAAAAATTCGTAAAGATAAAGAGAAAATCGTGAGAGAGGGTGATAAGAGCTAATCCTGAGAGAGAGAATTCCGGGAGAGAGGCAAAGAGAAAAAGAGAGAACCATAAAGGAAATACAGATAAGCATGGAGGAGAATGGGAAAGTGACAAAGCCTGAAAACAGAGTAAAGAGAGAGAGATATATAGTCTTAGAGGAGAGCTATGTAAAAAAACTAATAATAAATTAGAAGGAATTAGTAGGAAGAGGAACAGAGATGTGGAGAGAGGGAGAAAAATAAATCCTTCATGGGAGGACGGAGGGAGAGGGACAGGAGAGGCAGGCAGTGAGAATTATAGTTGTAGTAATTACCAAGCTGAATACTGTTCCTTTAGTCTTACCACACCCTCGGCACAACACTGTCCTATATAGAAGTAATACAAACTATCGATTTACAGATTTAGAACTAATGTAATCTATCCTATCATTGCCACACCTTACCAAACATAATTTACGTATAAGTTTGATTAATTTATGATATATATATATATATATATATATATATATATATATATATATATATATATATATATATATATATATATATATATATATATATATATATATATATATACACGTCATCATCTGTCACATATGTACATGGCATATTTATGCGAATACACTCGTATAATCATATCCTCCATAAAGTTCCTCATCAAAGTCACCATTAACATCACCTCTGTCTTCACCAGGTAGACCTGACCTATGTTCCTGCATACAGGTAAGGTGGAACAGCTTCACTCTTAGTCCCGCCATACACACTCCCCAGTAATTCTGCACTCTGGCTCAAGGCTAATTGAATTCCACAAATATTCGCACATTGGAGCCCAGGTATTGGAGAGAGAGAGAGAGAGAGAGAGAGAGAGTGTGTGAGTGTGTGTGTGTGTGTGTAGCAGGATGGTGTGTGGTAGTGGCGGTGGTCGCAGTAGTGGTAGAAGTGGTGGTGGTAGTAGTAGTGATGGTGGTAATGGTGATTGTGGTGGTGGTGGTGGTAATAGTAGTGGTGCTGATAATAGTGGTGGTGATGGTGGTGGGTGTGATGGTTGTGTTGTGTGTTCGCACACAGGGGGGTGAAATGCGTCTAGTGTGGCAGCATTATGTTAGTGTTAAGGTGCTGGTGCAAGCACTGCTTGCTCCATCTCGTTTTCAGGTACCGCCGCTGGCTAGCCCTCGCGGCGAACAGGGAAGCAACTTGCATAAGTCTTCCCCTGCCAGTTACCCAGCCTCTTCACCATCAACACTCCTGCTGTGCCTCGTCGTGGCAACACACGGTAACTGGGTGTCTCGTGGGCCCAGGCTAGTCCAGCAGGGGATCTCGGAGTAGCAGTGGGCCCCAGAGGGATGGCGAATAGGCCCACTGGCATGTGGACACGTCCTGGCGCCTACCAACCATTGCGGATTAACCTTGGTAGGTATAAGGCTACGGGAGTAAACCCCGAACGAAAAATCTGCAGTGGAGCCCCGCATCAGGCAGATATGCTTACAGAGCTCCAAGAAGACCCCAACGGCGATATAGAGGGAAGAGGTGACCACCATGGGAACCCAACGTCTACACCGGCGGACGAAGGCAATGCCTGATGGACAGGCTACTAAGGCCAGGTACGAGATATTGTTGAAAGGGCGATGGCTATAAAATAACAGTGGAGAGTGTTTAATGTATCACACACATCAACAGTGGATCACGAGGGCCCTTGACTGTGCTACAGGAGAGCAGATAACAACCACAGCAGAGGCACCTAGTACATTTAATACATGGATCACGTGCACCTACAATGATTGATTTGCATATATATATTTCATCAGTCCATATAGACACGCGGACTTCCATATACAAACAATACCTCAATTGTCGGCAATCGAACCCTGGACCTCTGCGTGTGACCAGGATCGCTACCACCGAGCTACATAGTTAGCGCAGGAAACCCCTAATGGAGGTGTACGGCGCTTGACAAGCACGCTGAACAGGCTGTGTGTGGAATATAACAAAGTCTAGGATTGCTCTTGTTGTCCTTGTGTCACTCTCAGAGTCCAGGGTTCGATTCCCTATTAGTGAGGTATATATATATATATATATATATATATATATATATATATATATATATATATATATATATATATATATATATATATATATATATATAATGAGAAGGAGAAAGAAAGCTTAACATCTACTTTTGAAATTCTTAACATAGTTTTGTATAAATCTGGATGATATAGAATAGAAGATGGAGGGTCGCTGTTTGATAATCATATTTTAGGTATTTTAATATCTATGGCATCTATGGCATGCCGTCTCCAAACTCAAGCTAACAATCATATGAATTTCAATATTTTTAAATCTCTCTCAAATTTTCAAATATAATTTTTCTGACTTCTTGATTCCATGAATGTGATTATCTACATTTTTCTCCTTTCGAAAATTAATATATCCTATTGAAAGCTGATGAGCTATTTAGTGAAATGCTTAACCATAAATATCTAACATTATGCATATCCATTAAAATTACGATATCAACACTTTAAAGAGAATATCCATTAAATATTACCAGAATATCGTAAAAACAGGAACAGGTTGACAATTCTTTTTACGGCAGATTATTCAGTCAAACATAAGGTCTTTCTGTTTTATTTAAATATCACTTCCGTATTAACCTACCAGATGGCTCCCTTTCTGTATGTTCTTATCTCCCTATTTATTGTGTTTTCTATCTCTCTTTTCCTGTTTTATTTATCCTTTTTTTTACATTATTATAATCATCATACCTTTCTCTATATCTCTTACATCTAATGCTCTCTTTCCGTGTGTGTGTGTGTGTGTGTGTGTGTAATTAGCCGACGGTTGAGTGAACTCGTAGGCTTTTGTTGTCAGTATCTCTAATTAAAATTTGGTTCAGATTTAAACTTATTTTTATACAATAACTTTTTTGTTGTCAATTCCGGAAAATTCTTTACCGTAACGAAACTAATAATAAAATTGAATCTATGTCAAACTTCCATTAACTTTGTGGAAAAATCCGGCAAAATAATTAATTGATTAAAATCGACCGCTTTACTGTACCGCAATAGACATTTTCTACGAACAATAATATCCATGAAGATAATATTTTTTTAAGAATAGAATTAAAACTTTTTACGCAGCTTCATTAGTCATCTCATTTGTTTTATTATGTTAATTAATTAAGCGATTTCCAACAGTTCCGAAAATGCAATGCCCCCTTCGTCACGTCGCTATTATTCTCAGTTTGTATTTTATTTTACTGTAATTAAATGATTTATTCTGAAAAAAAAGTATATATCCGGCCAGATAGTGAGTGCTATAAAACTAGTGGCGATAACAGTGTTGATTGTTGGTGAAGTGTTTGGCAGCGGCGGCTTCAGTTTTTATTGCGTATTTTGTTTACTCAGAATAAATCCAACATCATCATAATCCTTTAACAAGACATTTTCTTGCTACATCATGTCTCCTCTCTTTATATATATATATATATATATATATATATATATATATATATATATATATATTGATTATTTTATTTACTATACTTCTGATAATTATTGGTAACATTCCCTGATTCTCCTTTATTTATCTGTTTCTATTTATTTACATGGGAACGATGTGAGGCTGATGTGTGTTGCCCGTCCTTTATTGAGTGGCTGGCTGGCTGGCTGCCTCACGCTCCACCATTTCCTCCTCGCTGATTTATTCCCAACCCTTCCCCTCCCCCTTTTCTTTATCAACTGCCCTCTTTTCTTTTTCCCTCCATCACTTTAACATTCCTGCCTCCCCTCTCTCATCAACTCCACTTCCTTATCTCTGCTACCTCTCTCACTTTCCTTTTCTCTCTCTCTCTCTCTCTCTCTCTCTCTCTCTCTCTCTCTCACTCCATGTCTTCTTAACGAGTCCCTTCACTTTGCTGGTCCATCACCTCTTCCCTCTTCCTCTGTGTTTGTCTTTATTTCCATGTTCTAACTTACTTCCATCCTGAGGAGTTTTCCCCCAATTGACTCCCTTACTCATTCCTATCTGTGGTTCCCTCCCTCCCCTAGCTCCCTACATCTCCTTCCCGTCCTAACACCTTCCATCCTTCCCACTGACTCCCTTCCTTTCCCTTCTTCCTTTGGCTCCCCTCCTTTCTGCTCCTGGCTGTCTTCTTTCCGCTCCTGGCTGTCTCCTTTCCTGCTCCTGGCTGTCCTCTCTTCCGCTCCTGTCCTTTTGGCTCTTCTTCCTTTCGCTCCTGGCTGTTTCTTTCTTTTCCTCTGGCTCCCTGTCTTCCTCTGTTTCTTTCCCTTGTCTTCTTTATGTTTCTTTCCTCCTGGCTGTCTTCTTTCGCTCCTAGCTGTGGCTGTCTTTCCCGCTCTGTCCTGGCTGTCTTCTTCTTCCTCCTGGCTGTCTTCTTTCTGCTCCTAGCTGTCTTCTTTCTGCTCCTGGCTGCTCTTCTTTCCCTCCTGGCTGTCTTCTTTCTGTTCCTGGTCTCTTGTCTTCTGTTTCTTCTTTCTGCTGGCTGTCTTCTTTTCTGTCTTCTCCTGGCTGTCTTCTTTTTCCTCCTGGCTGTCTTCTTTCTGCTCTTCTGGTTTGTCTTCTTTTCTGTCTCTGGCTGTCTTCTTTCTGCTCCTGGCTGTCTTCTTTCTGCTCCTGGCTGTCTTCTTTCCCTTTCTGCTGTTCCTTTCCCTCTGGCTGTCTTCTTTCTGCTCCTGGCTGTCTTCTGTCCACTCCTGCTGTCTTCTTTCCGCTCCTGGCTGTTTCTTTCCACTCTAGCTGTCTTCTTTCCGCTCCTGGTTTGTCTTCTTTCCGCTCCTGGGTGTTTCTTTCCCTCCTGGCTGTCTCTTTTCTGTCTCCTAGCTGTCTTCTTTCCGCTCCTGGCTGTCTTCTTTCCGCTCTCCGCTGTCTTCTTTCCCGCTCCCTGGCTGTCTTCTTTCCGCTCCTGGCTGGTCTTCCTTTTTCCTGTCTTCTCTGGCTGTCTTCTTTCTTCTGTCTTGGCTGTCTTCCCGCTCCTGGCTGTCTTCTTTCCGCTCCTGGCTGTCTAGCTGTCTTCTTTCTGCTCTGGCTGTCTTCTTTTCCTGGCTGTCTTCTTTCTGTCCTGGCTGTCTTCCGCTGGCTGTCTTCTTTCCTCCTGTCTTTTTTTCTTTCTGCTCCTTTCTGCTCCTGGCTGTCTTCTTTTCACTTCTGGGTGTCTTCTTTTCTCTCCTGGCTGTCTTTCTACTCCTGTCTTCTTTCCTCTCTGGCTGTCTTCTTTCCGCTCCCTCCCTGTCTTCTTTCTGCTCTGCTGTCTTCTTTCCGCTTCCTGTTTTTCTTTTCCTTCCTCTTTCCTGGCTGTCTTCTTTCCACCTCCTGGATGCCTCCTTTATACCCTCCTGTCTTTTTTCCCTCCTGGTTGCTGTTTGTCTTTCTTTCCGCTCCTGGCTGTCTTCTTTTCCGCTCTGGATGCTTCTCCTCTTTTACCCCTCTTCTGTCTTTTTTTTTTTTGCTCTTACCTGTCTTCTTTCCGCTTCTGGTTTTCTTTCCGTCTCCTGGTTGTTTTTCTTTCCACCTGGTAGTCTTCTTTCTGCTCCTGGTTGTTTCTTTCTGCTCTGGCTGTCTCTTTCCCCCTGATGCTCCCTTTATGCCCTGGCTTGTCTTTTTCCGCTCCTGGCTGTCTTCTTCCGTCTTTTGTCTTCTTCCACCCCTGCTGTCTTTCTGTCTGGTTGTCTTCTTTCTGCCCTTGGATGTCTCCCTTCCCGCCCCTGGATGCCTCCTATTACGCTCCTGCTGTCTTCTTTCTGTCCTGGTTTTTTCCGTCTTCTTTCCGCTCTGGCTGTCTTCTTTCCACTTTCTGGTCTTCTTTCTTTCCTCTTGCTGTAGTCTTCTTCCGCTGGCTGTCTTCTTCCGCTTCTGGCTGTTTTCTTTCCGCCCTCTGTCTTCTTTCTGCTCCTGGTTGTCTTCTTTCTGCTGTTGTCTTCTTTCTGCCCTGGCTGTCTCTTTTTCCACCCCTGGATGCCTCCTTTATACCCCTGGCTGTCTTTTTTCCGCTCCTGGCTGTTTTCTTTCCGCTCCTGGCTGTCTTCTTTCCACCTAGTATCTTCTTTCCGCTCCTGGCTGTCTTCTTTCTGCTCCTGGTTGTCTTCTTTCTGCTCCTGGTTGTCTTCTTTCTGCTCCTGGCTGTCTCTTTTCCACCCCTGGATGCCTCTTTATACCCCTAGCTGTCTTTTTCCGCTCCTGGCTTGTCTTCTTTCCACCCCTGGTAGTCTTCTTCCGGCTCCTTCTTTCCGCTCCTGGCTGTCTTCTTTCCCGCCCTGGTTGCTGTCTTCTTTCCACCCTGGTAGTCTTCTTTCCGCTCCTGGCTGTCTTCTTTCCGCTCCTCTTCTTTGGCTTGTCTTCTTTCCACCCCTGGTAGTCTTCTTTCCGCTTTCTCTGTCTTTTTCCGCTCCTGGCTGTCTTCTTTCCGCTCCTGGTTGTCTTCTTTCCACCCCTGGTACTCCTGGCTGTCTTCTTTCCACCCCTGGCTGTCTTCTTTCCACCCCTGGTAGTCTTCTTTCCCACCCTGGCTGTCTCTTCCCTCCTGGCTGTCTTCTTTCCACCCCTGGTAGTTTCCTTTCCTGCCCTGGCTGTCTTCTTTCCCCTGGCTGTCTCCCTGAGTAGTCTTCTTTCCACCCCTTCCTTCTTTCCACCCCTGGCTGTCTTCTTTCCGCTCCTGGTGTCTTCTTTCCGCCCTGGTGTCTTCTTTCCACCCCTGGTATTGTCTTCTTTCCGTTTGGCTGTCTTCTTTTCCTCTCCTGGTTGTCTTCTTCCCTTTCTTTCTTCCCTGGTAGTCTTCTTTTCCTGGTAGTCTTCTTTCCGCTCCTGGTCTTCTTCCCTGGTAGTCTTCTTTCCACCCCTGGCTGTCTTCTTTCCGCTCTGGTTGTCTTCTTTCCACCCCTGGCTGTCTTCTTTCCACTGGTGTCTTCTTTCCGCCCTGGTGTCTTCTTTCCGCCCTGGCTGTCTTCTTTCCGCCCTGTGTCTTCTTTCCTTTCCTGCTCCTGGTTGTTGTCTTCTTCCACCCCTTAGTCTTCTTTCCGCTCTGTTGTCTTTCCGTCTTCTTTCCGCTCCTGCTCCTGGTTGTCTTCTTTCTCTTCTTTCCACTCCCTGGTAGTCTTTCCACCCTGGTTCTTTCCGCTCCTGTAGTCTTCTTCCACCCCCTGTTTCTTTCCATTTCTCTGTCTTTTTTCGCCCTGGCTGTTTTCTTTCCACCTGGTAGTCTTCTTTCCGTGGCTGTCTTTCCTCCTGGTATTGTTTTCTTTTCCACCCCTGGTGTCTTCTCCTCTGCTGTTTCTTTCTTTTCCTGGTAGTCTTCTTTTTTTCCGCTGGCTTTGTGGCTTCTTTCCGGTGGTTGTTCTTGTCTTTCCTGGTTGTCTTCTTAGTCTTCTTTCCACCCCAGTCTTCTTCCCTCATGGTAGTCTTCTTCCGTTCTGGTTGTCTTCTTTCCACCTGGCTGTCTTTTTCCGCTCCTGGCTGTCTTTCCACTCTGGTCTCTTTCCGTCTTCTTCCTGGTAGTTGTAGTCTTTTTCCACCCCTGGTAGCTCTGGTTGTCTTCTTTCCACCTGGCTGTCTTTTTTCCGTCTGCTGTTTTCTTTCACCTGGTGTCTTCTCCGCCCGCTTCTTTCCGTCCTTTGTCTTTCCACCCCTGGGTCTTCTATGTCTTCTTTCCCGCTCCTGGTTGTCTTCTTTTTCCCTCTGGTAGTCTTCTTTCCACCCCTGGTAGTCTTCTTTCCGCTCCTGGTTGTCTTCTTTCCGCTCCTGGTTGTTGTCCGCTCCTATCTTTCCACCCTGGCTGTCTTGGCTGTCTTTTCCGCTCCTGGTTGCCTTTTTCCAGTCCCCCTGGCTCCTTGTCTTCTTCCACCGGTCTTCTTTCCACCTGGTAGTCTTCTTTTCCACCCCTGGTAGTCTTCTTTCCGCTCCTGGTTGTCTTCTTTCCGCTCCTGGTTGTCTTCTTTCCGCTCCTGGTTGTCTTCTTTCCACTCCTGGCTGTCTTCTTTCCACCCCTGGTAGTCTTCTTTCCGCTCCTGGTTGTCTTCTTTCCACTCCTGGTTGTCTTCTTTCTGCTCCTGGTTGTCTTCTTTCTGCTCCTGGTTGTCTTCTTTCTGCCCTTGGATGTCTCCCTTCCGCCCCTGCTTCGCCCGTCCACGCTGCCCTGTACTAAGCGTTGTCAGTGCTAATGAGGCGCCCTCGTTTTGCCGAAAAAAAAATAAAAAAAATAAAAATAATAAATAAATAAATAAATAAATAATAATATCTTGTTAGTTCTCAAAAATCAAAGCAGTTTTGAAATGTTCTTTATGTATAACTGGAATTTTTTTATCCCAGTGGTGGGTGACCATAGTGGTGTGGGTGACAGTGGTGGGTGATGTTTTACTATTGGTTTGAGGGTGAGGGCCAGGTTGTTCTGGCAGTCCACTCGTATGCGGGCATAACGTGTGCTGATTGGTCCTGATCCACCACGGTGTGTTGTGTGTCCCTTATAATACTACTCCCGTACTCGAACTTAACCTAACCTAACCTAACCTTAACTTATCTTACCATACCTAGGCGCAAATTTACTCTCCCATAATTTAATTAACCGAATATGATTCTTCCCTAACCTAATCATGCTGACCTACAATACAAACTGATACTTCCCTAACCTAAACTAACTCCTGTTAGTCCTGAATTTAACATCCCCTAAATTATCATAGCCTAACAACTTATTTTAAGTCTAACCTTAACCCAATCTTACTTAACAAACCTAACCTAACCTTGGCCAAACCTTATCCACCTTAATTTAACGAAATTTAACCTAACCCATCCTTGGTAACCTTAACTCACTTAACCAAGCGTACTTTAGTAGTGGAATATGGATACTGGCTGACGTTATGGCGGGTCTGGATCAATCAGCACACAACAGCCCCGCAAAAGCGTGGGAATTCCAAATTGTGGGCGTGAGGGTGGGGGGTGGCGGTGAGCCAGGTGGTGGTGATGTCTGCCACCCGCTCGTCACCAGTTGACTTAGGGTCTAATACAACCAGCACCCAGCCGCGCCGCCCCTCCTGATGGCTGACATCGGTAATAAAGACGAGACCTGCACTGGCTCTTTCTGACAGCTGACACGTCTGAAAATTTGAGGTGTACTGTGTATGTGAGGGTATACTTGTCTTAACAAGTGAGGTGAACTGTGTATGTTAGGTGTACTGTGTATGTGAGGGTGTACTATTATGAAGTGAGGCGGTGTATTGTATATGTGAGGGTATACTTGTGTAACATGTGAGGTGTTCTGTGTTTGTAATGACGAAGAGTGATAACTTCTTCATTTTAGCGAGCAAATGTGTTGTTTTTAACATGGCTGACATAATCTAACGTGGTAAAAGTCTCTGAAGGTGCAGAAAAATACCCCCTGCCTTTAGCCTGGAGGAAAATGTATGAGCTGGAAAATGAAGTAGGAAAACTTTAGCTCCCAGGCATTATCCTCGACAAGGAATATTAGCAGGCTTAGCGTCACCTTTCATTGGCTGGCACACAATCCACCGCCCCTCTCCTCCTTCACAAGTCCGGGTTCCAAAAGGCAAAATGTCTCAAAGCAAAAATATTTAGAAAACGTAATAGGATATACTTCTCTATTTTTGATAACTCGAAGTACAACATAACACATAACAACAACACACAAATAAGATTACACAGACTTTGATTAATGGCTAGGACGTATACAAACTGAAGATGCTTAGGGAATACAAGACCTTTGGGTGCAGAAAACTTCTAATCTCAACTTATTTTTCTTATCTCAACCTAACTATTATCCACTGTGTAAGGAGTATGGAGGGGTATACAGTGTTACGTAATTCCCCATTACATAAGAAGAAGCGTGGGGAATCTCAATCCCTCATGATACAATGAAACATGTTTGGAATAATAATAATAATAATAATAATAATAATAATAATAATAATAATAATAATAATAATAATAATAATAATAATAATAATAATAATAATAATAATAATGTTACGATCCTCCTTTCGCTGCTTACCAGCGTCCACCGCTGGTTGCCAGAGGGCAGGTCGTATATACAGAAGCAATAGATATCTCACAAGTGTCGTCGAATTACCATTTAGCTTTTCCGCCAGTCTCCGGTAATTTCCTGACGATCGGTATCAGCGTACAAACAAAACAACAGGCAGGTCGATTTCCACCAGGTCACATAAACACTCTTGTGAACTGTAGCCTGCTTTAATAATTACTGAATCTTCATAAAACTGTTCACAGGGCATGTCCTCTATACTGGACTTCTCACTTCAAATATATAGTCAGCACGCTACCAGTGTACAATTCTATAGTCTTTTCACTTCATATCGCTCACAACAATGCCACAATATGCGCACAACACTTATCTTCAGCTGCCACTAGACTTGTAATTCACCCTCCGTGCAGAAAGGATTGATTCCTCTAGGCAGCTCGCTGCCACTTACATACCTCATCAGACGCCCCTAGAACATCCTAGCACCACCCAGACGCTGCAAGCCGTAACGAGACACGCCTGGGAATTTCTAGAATGTTCTTCTCTGATCGAAGCTTACAAGTAGATCAAAACACAAATAATGCTATACATTCTAGAAAATTCTTACATCAGTAATACATCAATATATATAAGATCTTCCCAAACTTGCCAAGATAACTGCTGCTTGGAAAAAGAAAATAATCAGAAGACCTAGATTACAAACATAATACTAAATTATGCCTCAGCATAACACTACCCCACTGCCCCAGCTAATCATTGTGTCGTCCCGACACAACTACTCACTATATACATAACAATCCTAAGACTTGGTAGGTCTCCTCCTCTCCCGCTGCTGCCGCCGGCGTACTGGGATTTCTTCGGAGTCCTCCCTTGGCACAGCAACCTCAGTCACATCCTCAGATTGGTTTCCTTCTCCTGTCGCGTCCAATTCCACTAAGAGGAACGGTGTTTTCTTCCTGGTCCGTGGTCGGATTCCCCGGAGTTCTTCCAGGATCTCCGGTCTGGTCCTCGTCGGTGGTAGTTGACTGCTCTTCAGAGTTTTCTCAGGTGTATTGCCCTGGCTCATGATACTGCTACAGACGATTGACGTGGACTACCTTTGGCTGAGCCTTCCTTCCATCCTCCCCTGATCCGGTAGGTCACACATGAAAGGCGTTCCACTACAGTGTATGGTCCTTCCCATGGATTCTACAACTTGGATGACCGACCCTTTTTCCGCAGAGGGTTATACAGCCAGACCTTATCACCGTCCTTGTAAAAGACCTGGCTTGCTTTGACATCATGGTTGCTCCTCGAACTTGATGGTGGACATCAGTTAACCTTTCTTGGTGGCTTTTGACGTAATTGGTGGTTTCTTCAGGTAGTTCTTCATCAGGTGGTCTTCCTGTCAGCAAGTTCACTGGTAGCCGCAGTTCGTGAGCCAGCGTAGGTTTTACCGTTGTGTATCCAGTTGACTCGAGGGCAGCTAACAGATATGCCATCAGCAGAGCAGGAAGTTTCTGGTCCCATTCTGTCTGCCCCTCAGCACAATATTTGGCGAGTTCTTGTGCCAAGGTCCAATCAAAAATTTCCACCATTCCGTCTGACTGTGGCCGAAGTGGAGTGGTCCTAGCCTTCCTTATGCCCAATAGTTTACAGCACTCGCTGAAAACAGCTGACTCAAAGTTTTTGCCCTGGTCCAAGTGCAACTTGTGTGGCACACCAAACCGGCAGAAGAACTGGTCCATCGGGACCCTGGCAACAGTCGTGCCTTCCTGATTTGGGATGGTATAGGCTTCTGGCCACTTAGTGAAGTAATCTATGGCCACACAGATGTACACTCAAGCGCCATATTTTCGATGCACACTCTACCCCTACTTCTGGCTCGAGGAAAGTCGTAGTCAGGGTTGCAAACCGAACGGTCCCTCCTGTATAGTGATGTTAAGTATAGTGATGGTAAATAAAGAACATAAGAACATAAGAATCGAGGAAACTGCAGCGGGCCTATTGGCCCATACTGGGCAGTCCCGTTTACACCCAACCCCTATTGCTCATATAAGCATCCAACCTATGTTTGAAGCTATTCAGCGTATTCGAGTTAATGATGATATTTGGTAACTTGTTCCATTCATCCACTGCTCTGTTTCCAAACCAGTGTTTACCTATTTCGCGCCTAAATCTAAATTTGTCTAATTTAAAACCATTGTTACGAGTTCGCTCCTGGTTGGATAGTTTGAGTACCTTTGTAATGTCCCCTTTGTTTCGCCCTGACTTCCATTTATACACCTCTATCAGGTCGCCCCTCGCTCTACGTCTCTCGAGGGAGTGCAAATTAAGATGCTTTAACCTGTCTCTATACTCAAGGTTTCTAATGCCCGGGATTAGTCTTGTCATTCTCCTCTGAATTCTTTTCAAGGATTCTATATCCATTCTGTAATACGGTGACCAGAACTGAACTGCGTAATCCAGGTGTCCTCGTCAGATTAAATAACACGTCCTATTTTAGTGTCATCAGCAAATTTACTTATGTTGCTGTCTATGCCGATATCTATGTCGTTTATGTATATAATAAATAATAATGGTCCAAGTACTGAGCCCTGGGGAACTTCACTAGTGACGTTGCTCCAATGGGACTTAGTGCCGTTAATGCTCACTCGCTGTTTCCTGTCCTGTAACCACGCCCTAATCCATTTAAGGATATTACCTTTGATGCAGTGTGCTTCTACCTTTCTAATTAGTCTTTCGTGGGGGACTCTGTCGAAGGCTTTGCTAAAGTCGAGATATACCACATCATAATTGTGCCCTTCGTCCACCGATTCGAAAACTGATGAAAAGAATGTTAATAGATTAGTTAGACATGAACGCCCGCTTGTGAAGCCATGTTGGGAATCATTGATCAACTCGTGCTTCTCCAGGTGGTTTCGAATATAGCTTGAATTGATTGATTCAAGTAATTTGCCTACTATTGATGTTAGGCTGATTGGGCGGTAGTTAGAGGATAGTGATCTATCCCCCTTCTTGAAAATCGGTATTACATTCTCTATCCTCCAGGATTCTGGTACTACACCTGTATTTAAGGACATGTTAAACAACTTTGCTAAGGGCATACTAAGCTCTTCCTTACATTCCTTTAATACTCTGGCAAATATCGCATCGGGACCAGGTGACTTATTAGGCTTTAGTTTATCTATTTGCTTACTAACATCGCTACTAATCACTACTCTCTCGCTTAATTTGTTTTCTTCACTATCTCTGAAAAGAGTCGGTGCCTCGGGTATCATGTTTACATTTTCGGTGGTGAAAACTGTTGAAAAATATTTATTCAAATTATTGCTCATTTCTCCGTCGTTGTCAGTGAGCTCACCGGTATCTGACCGTATTGGTCCAATCTTTTCTCGTGTTTTAGTTTGATACATTTGGTAGAATCCTTTGGGGTTTGTCTTCGCCTCCCTTGCTATCCTTACCTCATTATTCCTCTTGGCTTTCCTTATCTCGGTTTTAACCCTACTCGCCAATACCTTATTATAATCCTGGAGGTAAATTTCGCCATGATTTATCCTTCTACCTATAGCCTTCCTTTGGCCAATGATGTTCTTAAAATAATTATTTATCCATTTAGGGTCATTGTTGTCTGATCTGAGTTTTTTGCATGGTATGTTCTGCCTTTGTGCATTAAGTAACTCATTATTTAAATTGTCGTGGAACTCGGCTATCTCAGATCTCGTTACCAGGTCGGTGTCATCTGTCAGGTTCACGCCCACGCGCGACACCCCTTCTCCTAGCTGCCTCTTTAAACTGTCAAAGTTTGCCCTTCTGAAATCTGGTACTTTAGTGGAATTTTCCTTACGTCTGCCCTGAAAGTCTAACTGGAATCTAATTTCTTTGTGATCGCTGTTTGCAAGTTCGTTCCCTACCTCGACATTGCTAATGAGGTTTTCTCTGTTCGACAGAACTAAATCGAGTATATTACTACCCCGGGTGTGTTTGGTTATATGTTGCCTTAGGAAACAGTCCTGGATCGTTTCGAGAAAATCTTCTGATTCTGAGTTACCCGTAAGGTCAGTCCAATCTATTTGGCCAAGGTTAAAGTCGCCTACTATACAGACTTTGTTGTGTATGGAAGCCCTGCGCATTTCATCCCAGATAAGTCTCTCATTGACTCTATCAAGATTGGGAGGTCTATATATTACTCCTGTGATTAATTTTTCCCTACCGTCGATTAATTCTATCCAAATTGTTTCTGTATTCCGCTCAGTGTTGTGAAGTCACTAAAAAAAATGTATCGTGCATATATTCTCTCAAATATTACATCATGAACTG